CGAGTCGCTCCAAAGCCAGCTCGGAGTCTCTGCAGCGGTGGCCTTGCCAGACCCAAGAGAAGTTCAGGGTCGGAGGGCGGCGGCACCCGGCCCTCGGTCCCATGGAGGCTCGAGGGGAGCTGGACCCAGCCCGGGAATCGGCGAGTGGTGACCTGCTGCTGGCGTTGCTGGCACGAAGGGCCGACCTGCGCCGAGGTGGGTGCCCTCCTCAGCGGCTGCACCGGACAGGCCCAGATACCCTCGGGTTTTTTTCTGGCTTGTAAGCGGAGGCCAGAGGAAGCCAGGGTATTTGGGCAAGGGTATGTCTGAGGGGCTGTGACACCGCTAGTCAAAGGCGCCTCAACCTCCAAAGTGTACGGGGTCCCTGATGCTGTGTTGTTCCGGCATTTGGTCCTCGGACTAGGGAGCCCTTGGTGGCTGAGAAACGGTTTAGGGATCCCTAAGCAGCTCTGAGCTGGCGGAGGCCCTTGAGCTGGAGGGATCTGTGAAGCTGTTCAAGAGACTCGGGAATCAGGATGCAAAGGTGTCTCCTAGAGAACTGCCTTCACTCAGTCCCTCCCCACTTTTCAGAGGGATCAGGGCTGGGTCATGCTGAACCACTGATTTGGATCTTGGAGGCTGCACCCGAAGCCTACCACTGGTTTGGTGGCCAAGAACCGTTTTTTACAGGGCAAAGCGGGGTTTGTCCGGGCCCCCAGTTTCTTAGTAGTAGCAGTCTTTTTGCAGGGCTTTGGTTCTGAGGAATAGGCAAGCTCTCCGGGTTTCCAAGATGATGGGATACAGAATGGGCAAAGAGGCAATTAGGCTGGCAGAAGGTCGAAGCAGGCGGGAAAGGGATTCTATTCCGTCTGGGGGTCGGATATGACCTACTTGTTTATTTATTTATTTCCGATGGTTTAAGGGAGGGGTTGACCGCAGAGGCTGGGAGGAAGATGTGGGAGGGGAGGATGAAAACGAGAGGAGAGGGAATGCTTAGTAAGCTAAGCTCCAGAACTCCCGGGAGGCTTGCGAGAGCGCTGGTGGCTCCCGAGGCTCCACAGGGCCCTTCAACACTGTGTAGGAAATTGTGCGGAGGCTGGAGTCACCATGCAACGTAAGCAAGTGAAGGTCCAGGGTGGCTTCACTGGAGATTTGGTTGTGGGCGCTGACTTTTGTAGGAAGCGGGCCCTCTGTGGGCTTCTTGGTCGAGGCGCTGTCCGTGTCTGGGTGCTGAATCTACAGTGTCTGGCCTGTCCTGCCACCCCACTCTTTGCTGGGTACCCTTCCTGCCCTATGATGGCTCCCATGGTGGTGATCTGGTACAACTACAGACGATCTCCATGTCCACATTTGGAGAGGTGGTTTTGTTTAATGCGGGACAGCGTCCATCGCAGGCTTGTGGCCAGTGCTGGAGGGTGGTAGGACAGATTTTGTCCTTTTCTAATTCCTCCCACCAGCTGGAAGCCAGCCTGAAGCTAGCTGTCTGTAGCCAGAGAGGTAAGGACACTGGTGTGGTGTGACATCATGAGTGGGTCCTAGGTCCTAGGTCCTGCACATGGTTCTCCCTTCTTCTAGAAACGTTTCCTAAATTGTCAGGGACTCTTCAACCCATGAACATGAAGAAGAGCCCCTCAGTGCTTCCCTGGTTCTTGAAAGATACCTTTGGATTTCCCCAGCCCGATTTCCCTGAGACCTGCAGTTTGCTGGGGGGTTGGGGGAGAGAGACAGAACTGATGGGAACTTAGTTTGAGGAACTGATGGTGTGGAGAAGTGAAGCCACCCACTGTGCACTCCAACTCACACCTGAGCAGGAGAGCAACAGATCTACTCATAAAAACATAGCCAGTGCACCCTTAAATACCTGCAGCCACTCAAATCAAGACCAGTATTCATTTACCTTAGATGCTGCGGCCAAGGGCCAGGGCTAGGCAGCCTCACTTGCTGGAACTCTTCGAGGCCAAGATGCTTCATTGAGCAAAATCACAAAGGCAATACAGTCCCATGTGTGACCTTTTGCCCTTGCTAGTAAGGACGTATTTTCTATTTTCTGTACCAGCTTTCCAAATCACCCAAGGGGTAGGATTTTCATTTGGAATGGACATGTCCTGTCTGGCACTGGGAACACCTTATAGAGTGGTTATTTGGGCTTTAGGGGACAGCCTGGTCACCTTTCCCATTGCAGACACACTTTTATGCCTTTTTTAGTTTCTTTTGACTGCATCAAGGCTGAGAGGTGCTACAGGATACAATATCCTCAGACCATTGCCGTCACTGGGGAGCCTGGCAGCGGGGGAAGGCAGATCCTTGCACAGCTCTGAGGTCTGCAGGCCTGACAGCTGGCTCTAGCCAATAAAGAGCCATCACCCATCTTCGAGGCCCATGACCTGGGTTATTTTTGTATCCACAGAGATCCCGATGTGTGCCGGCTGTGATCAGCACATATTAGACCGCTTCATCCTTAAGGCTCTGGACCGACATTGGCACAGCAAGTGTCTCAAGTGCAGTGACTGCCACATACCTCTGGCTGAACGCTGCTTCAGCCGCGGGGAGAGCGTCTATTGCAAAGATGACTTCTTCAAGTAAGCTGGCTGCTTGTAGCCGGGAAGAGTGAAGGGGGCATGGGCAAGGCAGGAAGAACAGAAGCTGGGAGAAAGCTTCATGATAACTAGGTCCCTGCCCAGGTAGGGCACCCTGGGGTCTGGCCAAACTCAGGATGGGGCTCCCCATGACATTTTAAAACACAATCTTTATTTTATGTGTATATGTAAGAGGCCATATGTATGGATTATGCACCACATGCATGCCTGGTGTCCTCAGGAGATCGAAGAAGGCAGCGGATCCCCTGCAACTGGAATTACAGATGATTGTGGGCTGCCATGTGGGTGCTGGGAACTGAACTTAGAGCCTCTGGAAGAGCAGCCAGTGCTCTTAACCACCCAGCTCAGCCGAACCTCCAGCCCCAACATTACTTTTTAGGGTAATTTGTTTTGTAAATCGTAAAAGCAATTGTTAGGTTAAAAAAGATTAACCCAAATTTGTGGAATTGTATGAGATTTACTCCCTCTTAAAATATGTTTTTGTTCCTTAAATATCTGGGGAGTGGGAAGCTCGGGAGCTAAGAGAACTGGCCCAGGTACCCATCTTCCCCAACAGCAAGGAGCAGGCTCGGCTACCCAGGGTATTGTGGCTCTGCCTAGGCTGTGGGGCAGAGTTGACGGAGGAGTCTCCCCAGGCGCTGGGAGCTCGCTGCTTTGCGACCCGCTCTGGGCGAAGGAACTGCTATGGCTCTACTGAGCCGCACCCTGTGCATCCCGCAGGCGCTTCGGGACCAAATGCGCCGCATGCCAGCTGGGCATCCCGCCCACGCAGGTGGTGCGCCGCGCCCAGGACTTCGTATACCACCTGCATTGCTTTGCCTGCGTGGTTTGCAAGCGGCAGCTGGCCACAGGGGACGAGTTCTACCTCATGGAAGACAGCCGGCTGGTGTGCAAGGCGGACTACGAAACAGCCAAGCAGCGAGGTCAGTGGGCGGGGATGGCCCTCACTGCAATGAGGGAAACGCTCAGTCATGGAGGCCAGGGACGGGAATTGGTTTGGTGCTGGGAGGTGGGGCGACCTGAAGCCCCAGGCACTAAGCAGGCTGCTCCGGGAGCCTGAGTAGCAGTCGCGTAGGCGGGAGCAGGAGGTTGCCCGCTTTGGGAGAATTAGCAGTTTTGACCATGAAGAATTAACAGCTTTGACTACGAAGACCTGACTCACACAAACTCTTAGAATAAGGGGTCGAGGACCGTATCTGGCTGGGATGCGCACCACGGCGGGTTCCTTATAAAGAGCCCATCTGCTGGCGCTCCGCATTCGGTGAAGCGCCTGGGGCCACCGGCAGTCTTTGCCTGGGAGCCAGGGCGCCATGGGCGGCCGGAAAGCGACGCGGGGCTCTTGGGGTGAGGTGCGGGGAGCAGGCTGGCGCGGCAGGAGAGTGCTGGCCAGCCTCACCGTTTGTCCCGTGCAGAAGCCGAAGCCACAGCCAAGCGACCGCGCACAACCATCACCGCCAAGCAGCTGGAGACACTGAAGAGCGCCTACAACACTTCGCCCAAGCCGGCGCGCCATGTGCGGGAGCAGCTCTCTTCCGAAACCGGCCTGGACATGCGCGTGGTGCAGGTCAGCGCTCGGCCGCATCCCCCGGGCCCGCGGGCAAGAAGGGCCACGCGCTCCAAGGGAAGCCGGGCGGCTACTCACCATCCCTACCCCCCAGGTGTGGTTCCAGAACCGCCGAGCCAAGGAAAAGAGACTGAAGAAAGACGCGGGCCGGCAGCGCTGGGGACAGTATTTCCGCAATATGAAGCGCTCTCGCGGAAGCTCAAAATCCGACAAGGACAGCATCCAGGAGGGACAGGACAGCGACGCCGAGGTCTCCTTCACTGGTAAGCCGACACATTAACTAGCTGTAGGCTGGGACCCTCACCCACTCCCGGCTGTCTTCCCAGGGAGGATCTAAGCTGGCCCTCAGGCCCCCATTCTCTGCTGTTCTTGAGGCAAGGGACCGAAACTTTGGAGGGCAGAGAAGAAACTTCCAACCTTCTCTGTGGAACTCAACCTCTCATTTTCTACACCAGGAGCACTGTTCACATCCCTTAGTACTCACTTCTGTTTGGGGCTGTATTGTGACCTCGGGTTACTAACACAGCTTCTGGGGCCCTAAATTTTCTTATCTACAAAATGAGTACTTCCCACAGTTGCCCCATCCCGGGCTCTGGCTGGGGTAGCTAGCTAATCTGAGATCAAAGCCTTCCTTGGAAGATACAGCCAGAAAGGGCTCCTGGTAGGGGGTAGAGGAGGTGTGGAAGGCAGTCCTAAATTCCGGGAGAGCTGGAGAGATTTGCTGACCGCTTAATCAGTCCGGGTAGGACACTACAGGAACTTCAGACAGAGGGGTGAACTTCTCTCTTTTCGATTGCAGACGAGCCATCCATGGCTGACATGGGGCCTGCCAACGGCCTGTACAGCAGCCTCGGAGAACCCACCCCAGCCTTGGGCCGGTCTGTAGGAGGAGGCCTCGGTAGCTTTGCTTTGGAGCACGGAGGCTTGGCTGGTCCAGAACAGTACCGAGAGCTACGCCCAGGAAGTCCCTACGGCATCCCTCCTTCTCCTGCAGCCCCCCAGAGCCTTCCTGGCCCCCAGCCTCTCCTCTCCAGCCTGGTATACCCAGACACCAACTTGGGCCTTGTCCCCTCAGGGCCCCCAGGTGGGCCCCCACCCATGAGGGTGCTGGCTGGAAATGGACCCAGCTCCGATCTGTCCACAGAGAGCAGTGGTGGTTACCCTGACTTCCCTGCTAGCCCTGCCTCCTGGCTGGATGAGGTAGACCACGCTCAGTTCTGACCGAGGCCCCCAGTTCCCCTGGCTCTAACTCAGGGGTCTTGGTGCTGCCTCTGGGTGGGCAGCTAGCCCCACCCCATGCTGTCCATTTCAAGGACTGCTAAGGGAAGGACAGGGTTCCCAAGTGGGGGAGTAGGGATTGCCCCTCTGCCAGGCCCTCTGGCTCCTCCCTGGACCTGAGGCGCCACAGCCCTTCCTTGGACACAAGGGTGACCTGCCTGGTGGCTGTCCAGAGGCCAATGACTCTTGACCGTGTTTTGTAAACATTTCTCTCCCTTTATTGACCAGTTAAAGGAGCACTTGCTGCTCTTTCAGACAAGGCTGGAGGCCCAGGCCCTGGTCTTAAAGTCCTGGCATAAAACAACAGTAACAACTTGTCTCATTGCTTCTGATGGGGCCTGGTTGGGGACCATGCTTGTGTCCTCCCCGGCCACTGACAAAACCTGGGAGCAGACCTCTCCTCCCTGCTGCCTGCTGCCGGCTCTCCCCCCTGGAGTCTCCAGATCTTTATGTTCTGGAATGCAATGCGTTGAGGAAGTGGAACTTCTGGAGTCCCTTCTCCAAGGTGTATTCTTTAAATGTGAGGGCAGTACTGGTGTCCTGTGTCATTGCCCCCACCCCCACCCCCCACTTCCCATCCCGTCTCCTAAGGCACAGCCTATCTCAGGAGCAGGGCAGAGTTGTGCGCCAAGGACAGACACCATTGCCAAACAGATTGTGATCCTGAGTAGGGGTGGGGTGGGGAGGGGTGATTCTGGCAGCCCAAACTGGGAGGTCTTCTCCACTGGAGGAGGCTGGGCTGGGGGTCCTCTGATTTGAATCTGTCTCAGACACAAAGCTTGGCCGCGTGTAAGTCAAAATCATTCCTGAAAACCAGGGTCTTGGCCACCTGTTGGTTCTGTAAACGTCCCATGACTTTTATTTATTCTCTGGTGATCCGCTCTTTCCAAGACGTCAATAAATTTGTCAGTTTCAGTGCTAGAAGACCTGAGTTTCTAGTGAGCCTGGAGGGTACAGCTGAGAGTGTTGCTGCAGTAGAGGATGTCCTCTGAAAACTGAAGCATGGCAGGGCTGGGGGGGCTGCTAGGATTCACTGAGACAGGCCCTTGGCATGGATTTGACCTCTATTCTCTCCGGCTGTCCAAACCCCTGAGCCCTGGAAATAAGTGTGGGATTTACTGTCCATTCATGGTAGGATTGGTGATGGGCAATAGGGTCTCTACCATCCCAGGCCAGGCTGGAATGTCCATGGAGCCACCCAACACAGCAGGGAGTGCCATGGGAAGGCCCCAGAATGACTCAGGTTCTCTACAGTTTGATTCTGGTCCTAACTGCCCTGCTAACTTGCCGTGTAACATAGGGCCAGTAACTTGACTTCTGGGAACCCTAAATAGAAATGTCAGAACTCTTGAAAGGGATACTTCAAGCAAGGGTCAAGGCAGGTGTGCCAGCTTGTCAGGTTATGTTCCACAGAGGCCAGTGGTGGGGACAGGGGTGGGAACACACACACTCTAGCTGAGGTGAAATGGGTCTGGACAGGGTTCTGAATTCTCAAAGGAGGAAGCCTGGTTGGTTGCTGTATGATCAAGTGGCTTTCACTGGTACTTGACTAAGGGAGCTGCTTGAAACTGGTGACCCGAGCTGCTCTCCCTAGCTCCGAGGCTCAGCTACCCCTGGTATCCCTGGAGCCTTGGGTCTCTAGAAGGGGCATCAGCTGAAGGATCAGTTGCCATTACTGGGTGTTTTCAAGCACCCTTTGAGTGTCTCCAGCACCCACACTTCTCTAGAAGACAGCTCAGATGGGGTGGGGGTGGGGAGAGACAGGAACAGGGAGGAGGGTGGCCTGATAGAATAGGTCCAAAAGGACGGAGAGGAATCTTAAAGGGCTAGCCCTCTGACCTTCACCGGGCATTCACAGACTGTAGTGAGCCAGGATTGGGAACTCTCATTACTGGCTTCCTGAAGTCTTCATTCCACAAACCTGTCTCCAAACCCTTCCTGCCACTGATCCACATGGGCCCAGAGTGGGAAAGGCTTATCCTGGCAGGGCACCTGCTGTGGTGAAGGAAGAGGGAGCCCTGCCCAGCTCTACTCCCCAGCCTTGCAGCTCTAGCCTGAACTGCCACCCAGCAAAACATGGGAGAAAGAAGGCTTCCATCACACCCCCACCCTGAAGCAGGGTTTCTCTGTGTATCCCTCGTTGTCATAATTGTCTCTAAAGATCAGGCAGGTCTCAAACTCAGAGATCCGACTGCCTCTGCCGCCTCCCTAGTGATGGGATTAACGGTGTGTGCCACCACACCAGACTTGAAAGAAGGGCTTCTAAGGAACTATAGGTGTGTGTGGGGGGGAGGCACACACTCCTGGGATCCTACAGAGCATGGCAGAGGGACAGTGCTGGCCTGAGGAGGGTGCTGTGCAAAGGGCAGAGAACTGAGGTAGAGGAAGAGATGAATTTGAATTCTCTTTTAGGACGATGGTCACTGAAGAGACAGCAGCTCAAAGCCCAGGTCTGATTCAGGGTTTGGAGAAAGGTTAGATAAATGTGGCTGTTCTCAAGTCACACACACAAGCCCCGCCCACCCGGCCAGTCTACAGCCCCTCCCCCAGGGCCACTTGGGACCTTTTAGGCATTGACAGGTTAATGAAGTGCTAAGCGTCCCCTTGGGGGCCCTTCTCTCGTCTGCTGAACCCCGCTGGCTCTCTCCAGCTGGACTTGTCGATAACTTTAGCACCAATGGAGCAGGAAAGGGGGCGGTGCTGAGGGCAAACTGAGATATGGTTCACCTATGCAGGTCCTAAGTGGGCGAATTTGAGTAATCTTGCTTGCCTCAGTTACCCTACCTGAACAACCCCATCAGAACTGCTATCTAATTAAGCTCCCTAGATCTCAAAGGCCTGGAAACTAGCTAGTGAGTGCACAGCTGCTGGGACCTGAAATGCTCCCCCCACACCCCCTTCCCACCCATCACCCCATCCTCCTCAAGCTGCAGCAATTTGAATGCAGACTCAGACCTCACAACTAAGCCCCAACTCACCCTGTCAGCCCAACAGGTGTCCAGGGAGGATCCAGACCTGAGGTAGAGAAAGAACTTGGGCTACCGGCTGTCTTCAGCCCTGGCAGGAAGAGGTGAAGCCCTGCCCCTTGATTCCAGGTGGCATAGATCTGCAGGGACCACTGTGGGTGGTATAGTGTGTGAGGTATCCATCATGAAATTCAGGATCCCTGTGCTTCAGAGTATCTCCCCGGGGCCTTGTCATCTAGGAGCCTCTGGCTTAGAAGTTTTAGAGTATCCTGCAGGAGGAAATGCTACAGACAGGGACTGAGAAAACCAAGAAGGGAGTGTACAGAGTCGCACATCCCTGCCTGGCTTTTGAATGTATCTCTTGATTGATTGCAGAGACGCTCCTGCCCAGGGATGGCGTGGGTCAGCCCCGTGTCCATCTGCTCATCAGCCAGCAGGGGAGTCCCATAGGCTTTGGTGGGAACCTCAAAGAGATGGGGGGCGGGTGGCCTGAGATCACCCACTGGGGCTTGTTAACTTTTGATCTAGCAACTATATTATATCTTTAATGGAAGAACCCAAATGATTGAAAAAAAACAAAAAAACAAAAAAACAGGGGGCAGCAATTTTACCTGCTGGTTTGGGGCTCTGCTTGTAATCCTAGTATTTAAGAGGCTGAGGCATGAGCTGGGTTTGGGGATAGTCTAAGCCACATGAAACCATGCCTTAAAGGGGTGGGGACAGTTAATTTCAACCAACAAACACATAAAAAATGCTTCTCTCTTATATTGTAAAATTCATACTGGCTCCCATGACTTAGGACCCCTTCAATCTAGGGCACCTGGGGACACACTCCTCCCCTTTCTCCCTCCCTACCATCTGCCACTGGACCAGCCCCCAGGCTGCTCAAAAGGGGTGTAGCAGGGAGAGTCCAGCTCTAGGGCTGGCCCTGTGGAGTAGCCACCTCGATAAATCAGAAGGGTTTCAAAGGTTCCAGTGTGGAGTGCTGAGTCCCAGGGGCCGTAATGATCAATTCTTTAAGCCCATAATTGTTCAAATTACTCTGAGCAACATAAAACATTAATTTTAGGAAATTTAATAGAAAAAAGCTCTTTAAATCTACAGCGAGATAAATGGCACCCAGTATGGCCACCTTCTTCCATACCTTGGTGACATTGAATGATCTGAAAGCTATTTACATTTTCATTCTCCGTGGAAAATGTTGACAAGCTTTTGGCCACTGGTGAGGTCCGCTTCAGTGTGAGAGGACCCCTCCCCCCTAATTAATAGGGGAGCAGTGACTTCATAAGTGGAGTTTTCATCCATCTGCCTGGGCGACCTCAGGTGATGGCTCCCATCCTCTTGAAGCAGATGCAACTGCGGCTCATTTTTTATCATAAAAATATTCCGTCCTGACCTGTGATCCCCCTCTTGGCATTTCAAAAGTAGGTGTGACACCAGGAAGCAGCTGGCGTATCTGGGCGTATGGGTCGAGTCCAAGATAATGCCTAAGAAAAGCCAAGTTCTGCGTCCCGCAAGGGCAGGGGAATCGGAGCTGCCCTGATGGATCCCACAAATGACACTCAGCCAGAGTTCTCAGATGCGAATTCCCTCCACCCCACTGTCATGGAGATGGGAGGGGGCACCTCTTCAAGGCTGCAAGAGCCATGCAGTTTCAGAATTGAGTAGGGAAAGAGGGGTGGGGTGCTGGATGCAGGGTGGGTTGTCTCGGGTTCCCTGCATGCCCAAGGGTCTGTTACTGATAACCTAGTAGAGCTGGACATAAGGCTGCAGGGTGTGATCTTGGGACAGGTTTTTCCCTGTGTGTGTGTGTGTGGAGTGGGGGGGGGGTGCAGATGTGTGATCAGGGGAAGTCCTGGCCTACAGGAGAGAGTAGTTCATGCAGGACTCTGGTCTCAGCTTACTTTTGGTCATCTGTGAGACCTGGCAGTCACTGGGCCAGCTATAGTCCCATAGTCATCAGGAAAATGGAAACTA